ACTTACTCAGATGAAGTTTCCCTTACACTAACCAACTCTGACTTACTTGATTAATGACTCTGCCATTGAAAACCAATACCAATCCACCATGCCACTCTTGCACAATCTTGCTTTAGCAGAGGTGCAAATGCTTGCCCATGTCAGAACCTTTGGCATTTTCACTTTGGCTGCCATATTTAAACCCCAGCTATACACCACTTTAAATGCTGCAAGCCAGGAATTGCCCTTCGCAGTAGGTTGCTGTACATTTGGAAAGGCCATATCTGAGAAAGGCACGTTGACTGCACGCTTTACCAACAGGGACCTGGGAGTCCTGGGGGAGAGGAGGGCTATCCTCTTTCCCACCAGAGGAGACTACAGTACCAGACCTTGCCAGCCTGGTCCAAAGTTCCCACTTGGGTCAGTGCGGTCTTCATAATCCAGAGGAATATGCAGCAAGGCCGCAAGAAAGTTCTTCTGCGCTCCACAAGACTAAGTGCCATGATCTTTGTCTCCCTACTACCTCATGCTCATTCTATTATTCTCACTATTACATTCAGTGGTTTCCCTCAATGACTCTCATCCATTTCATCCTCCCCAAATCTAAATCTTCTGCTGTCTGCACTTCCTAGCCAGATATGTAGCATTGGAAGTTATTTTGAGCAAGAGTGGCTGTGATAGGGTAGGGGAAAGTTGAACATATTCCATGAAAGCCTTGGAAACAAATAGGTCCTTTTGCTGCCATTTAACGAAACAAAATGAATTCAGGCTTGTTAGCATACCGGTAAAAGTCTGTTCTAGAAGGCCTTAATAGGATGGAAGTAATTACACAAAATGCCATCATTATTTTTTAAAATATGTTGGCAGATGAGTGGTTTTACTTTTGTTAATTAATGCATTATGCTGTTTCAATGTATAATGAGGCACTATATATTGCAAATAAATAATTACTGTAATTGTCCATTCTTTCCATTTAGCATTTTATAATGGAAGCAGAATCTCACAAAGCACTGATGGCAGAAGAGAATGCTCCCTGTGATGGCGATGCCCCTTCAATGCCACTAGAGTTGCAATTACAAGCCTCCCCAAAAACACAGCCGTATGTGTGCACTTTGAGTCCACAACTAATTGCTAAGGCACAAGAAGAGCTTCAGGAGAAACCTGAATGGAGACTCCGTGATGTGCAGGCCCTAAGAGACATGATTTTGAAAGAACAACCAAATTTAAAAACGCGTTTGGATGACGCCTTCTTATTACGTTTTCTCAGAGCTCGCAAGTTTGATTATGACAGGGCGTTGAAGCTTTTAGTGAATTACCATGCAAGCCAAAGGACTTGGCCTGAAGTGTTTACAAATTTGAGGCCATCTGCAATAAAACATGTTCTAGACTCTGGATTTCTTACTGTTCTACCTTATCCTGATCCATTTGGTCGGTGTATCTTGGTAATTCGACCAGGTAAATAAACAGAAATTGAACAAAAATTTATTTGAAAAAAATAAAATAAGGTGTTACTGTTAAATTCAAAGCTATCTCATGATCCAGGCTTAAACGTAATCAAAAGAATCCAGGCTGTGCAGTGGCAGAATTTGTACAAAGCTGTTTGAAGTTTTTCTTTTAATTCGTTCATGGGATAGGAACGCCATTGGCTAGACCAGCATTTATTGCCTGTCTCCATTTGTTCAGAGGGCAGTTAAGAGTCACCCAAATTGCTGTAGGTCTGTAGCCACATGCAACTGCACTAGGTCAGGACACCAGATTTTCTTTCCTGACCAAATGGATTTTTATGACAATCGATAGCTATGTGGTCACAATTAGGCCAGTTCTATATTCAGATTCTATGGAATTCAAATTTCACTGTCTGCCATGATGAGATTCAAACCCTTGTCCAGAACGTTGGCTTGCGGTTTTGGATTACTAATCCACTGACATTACCGCTATGTCACTGCCTCCCATAGATTGAATAAGTTAGTATGATTCTAGTCCTATAAATAAAAGACTTCATGCTGGACCAGAATTGTGCTTACTGACACATACATGCTGATGTAACATTTACATAATTAAAATCATAGGATTATTAATTACCTTAGGTAGTATTCATTGGTTACTGAAGTTTTAATTGTATCATACTTTTGCTGACAATTAGTTGATATAATTCTACATTGTCTTTTCTGTTTACTCTTGAAAACAATAATTAAAAGCAGAGGAACACTCAGCCGTCTTTATTTTGGGAGGGATGTGTGCATCCTCATATTTGTTATTTAACTCACTTTTTAAGGCAATAATTTATATAGACAACTGTTACATCTATTAACAGAAACATTACTGACAGTTGCAGGCAACTGAGATTGCATTGTCTTAGACATTTTAGAAATTCAAAAAAACATTTTTATAGAGATTTTCCCATAGGAGCAATGAAGCTAAGTAATTTTTATTACATATGTAATACTGTTCAAGAAACATGACATTTTATATTTTTTCAACTTCTGGTCTGCTTTATAAATGTTTATTTCTCCTCCCTTTGCTGTGAATTATCTTCTTTAGTTCTTTTTTAGCTCCCATTCCAGTTCTGTATTTCTCTTTGTATTTACCATTGTGTGAAGTCCTTGATACCTGACTGAAAAAGATTAATGAAGTATTTGGTCTGTACCTGGGATTAAATTGGGGACCACCAATAATCCCCATACAATAGTGAGGGTTCTTCCTGTTTCATCAAAGTAATATGATGATTTATGTAATTATTTAATTGTTTAAAAACAAGGAATATGCAGTCCCTTTGAATTGAGGAGGGGGATTGGGGACAAAGTGATTTTTGAGAACTAGCTGCAGTAAAATAGCTTTTGGAGAACACAATGCGTTCTTTATATGCACATTCTCATATACACCTCTTCTAGTTCTTTTAAAGAATTCTGTAGCATGCTCCAGAACTAACTATTTGCCTTTGGGCCTTTTTTGTCACAAGAGTTGACATCAAAGAATACAACTTAAAAATATCATCTGAATTCAAATGCAGGGTTACCCATTATAGTCCTGGAGATATGTACATTTCCTGTTTAAGTGAGTTGAAAATTAGAGATTTAGTTATGGCAGATTTTTAGACATTTTTCAATACTGTCTTTCTATGAAATTTTAATAAACAAATACTCATGGTTTGAGTAAAAACTGAAAGAACTGCGGATGGTGTGAATCAGAAACAAAAAGAGAAGTTGCTGGAAAAGCTCAGCAGGTCTGGCAGCATTGTGAAGAGAAAATCAGAGTTAATGTTTCATTCTGAGGAAGGGTCGCTGGACCTGAAATGTTAAGTCTGATTTCTCTTCACAGATGCTACCAGACCTACTGAGCTTTTCCAGCAACTTCTGCTTTTGATTCATGGTTTGAGGTTTCTCAAGTTATGGTATTGGCTGAAAAAAAAATTGTATTTTTAGGTATAATTTTGAAAACACTTCAACACACAACTACTACATGTTTCTTTATATTGTAGGAAAATGGAAAATTGGTGATTATCCCATTACAGAAAACATTCGTGCCATTTATATAACATTAGAGAAGCTTGTCCGAGCAGAAGAAAATCAGGTGAATGGAATTGTAATCCTTGCAGACTACTGTGGAGTTACCTTGGCCCAAGCTGCACAACTTGGTCCGTTCATGGCCAAAAAGGTCATTGGAATTCTTCAGGTAAATATAAAACTATCTTTTCCCCCCAGCTATAAGCAGAGCTGCTATACACCCTGATGTGCCTCACCCATGGAACTTTATATTTTTTCTTTCTCTGTCAAAACAACATAATAGCTATCTTAAGAAATTGAGTCACAAGTCATTAAATTGCACCGCTACAATTCAACAGCAATTTGAGTCTAAAATATATTTTACACGAAAGATGCCGTTCCTATTTCTTATTTAAATTCCATCAAAGTTCAAAGCAAAACATTCTGAATGAGTGCAATATTCAGTGTTATTCCTGGCGAACGTACAATTTAAAGCACAATTTAAATCCACGTAGTCCTAAAATTTAAAATAAATTATTTACCCTTATTGTTGCTATATTTTCTAGAATTATCCACTTCCATGTCTTTCAGTACGGACTATTAAATAAGGCTATTAATTTGTTTTCTGTCTTCTTGAGTCAGTGTCCCTGATTTATGCTTTATTGTTATTGCAAACAATTTGTTAGGATTCAATTTATTTGCACCCCCTAGAATAGAGTAACTCCTCTAAGGTATCTTTTCTCCAGTGCAAAAATTGATGGTTTATTTAATAGCTCCTTGCATCGCAAGTGCCCTTTAGTGAACTAATCCCCTCTTAGGTCTCTCCTTGTTTCCCACACAATGTAGGCTCTAAATGTTTTTAGTCTCATTATGGGGAAAAGACTGGAGATTGCTACTAAATTGAAATGCTTAGAGAGCCAGTGCAGTCATGAAGAGCTGAATGGCTTCCTGCACTGCAACAATTTTGTAATTTCCATTTTTTTTTTCAGTCCAATCTTAAACAAATGTCAAATCTTCTTTCTGACATCAACTTCCTTTACCATCACATAATTGTTATATATATTGGGTCTGGTCTCTTTGCTCACCGGTGTAATTTCTTTAACCATTTACGACGGAAAAGTCAAAGATCATTTTCAGAGAATTCTAGTCTGCTTCCATGTTAGATCACACAATTTATTCTTGGTGAATTTTAGCTACATATGAATTATGTTTAATGTTTGACACCATCCCCTTATTTAATTAAAAGTTTCAACCTTAACCTTTGCATTATAAATCATTATTATAATGTCACTTATTTTTCTTCACAATGTTACATTCGTCTCGATTAGACTGGTGTATCTTACACATGTTTTAATTCTCAAAACTTAAATTACTTTTTCTATGCAAAGAACAGTTTGCATCACTGTAAATTCACCTCATCCTGTCTACCACATACTCCACTCCCCTTCTGATGCACGTACTCATTTTATCAAGTTCCTTGACATGTATGTTACCAATACGAGAACATAAGACATGGAAGCAGGAATAGACCTCATCACCTCTCAAACCTGTTCTAATTCAGCATATGCATTTCACTATAATCAGGAATAATCATCTACCTCAACCGCATTTTTGAACCCACGCCCCATGTCTGTTCATCACATATTTGATCAAAATTCTGTCAACATCAGCCTGAAACATACTCAACAATAGAATAGCCACAATTCTTTGCAGTATACCAATCCAAGGATTCACAGCCCTCTGAGTGAAGAAACTTGTCACCTCGGTTCTAAATGTTTATTTAACCACTTATCCTTAAATTCTGTTTCAGTGTTCTAGATTCCCAAACTCTGTCTATTTTGTCAAGGCCATTCAGAATCTTGTCTGCTTTAGTGAAATCACCATCCATTCTTCAAAACTGTGGAAACTATAGGCCCAATTTACTTAACCTCCCGATCAGAAACCAATCTAGTAAACTTTTACTGTGTCACCTCATGCATGTATATCTTTCCTTAGATTTGGAGACCAAACTGCATACAATCCAGATGTGGGCTCACCAAAGCTCTGTACAATTTTAGCAGCACTTTCTCATTCTTGTACTCCAATCACAATGTAACAAAGTCGAACATACTGTTTGCCTTTCTAATTGCTTGTTGTACCTGAATGCTAATTTTCTGTGTTCCTGTATGAGTAAAACCCAAGTCTCTATTTCACACCTCTTAAAAATATTCTGCTTTTCCATTCTTTAAGTCCCAAAGTGAACATCCCCATATTATTAATCTATCTGCCATTCTCATGGACCGAAATTTAACAAAAATTGGCTGTCAATTTTGGCCATTTTCCTTTCACCGTGAGCCCCAGCAAGGTTTTTCATGGTATTCTCTGAGACTCCCTCGTCTTCTCTCTCACCAGATGTGAAAGTACTCGCCTCTGCTGGTACCTCCAAGGATACCCGGCGCTGTCACCATTCATAGAGCTCAGAATGCGGCCAGCCTGGAGGTGTCCTTCATTTTACAAGTAGTGGGAAGGCAACCAGAAACAAATACATCTCAGCAACGGTCCCTCTAAGCTGTGCCCCACTTCACTGTTCTGCTTATGGCAATTGGCATCAGCACACTGATTGCGGCATTGACTTCCGGTTCCAGAAGTCATTACTGCACACAGGCCTCAGAGGCCCACACAGATGGAAAAAAAATTAGAGGGAGCAGTGCTTCTCAAGGCACATAGGTGGCACATGTCATTAAAAATACAAGTGCACATTTTGTAATGTACTGCTATTTGAGAACAAGCTGTACAGGTTGCCTGTTCTTTCCCTCATCCCACCGTAAAAGCCTGCCTAAGGGAGTGCTACATTTCCCCCAATGCCCACTGTAGCCTATAGCTTGGTCACACCAACCACTGAGTTGCACAGTCTCCCTGTCAAGATCAAGATGACACCCCTTTCACCTCCCAAAGTAACATGTTCCCCCAGTTCACTGTCATCTCCCTCCCACCATGTTGAGTTGTTCCTTGACAAATATTGTCCCGTCTGCACGCCAGCATGCTACCTCCAATTCCCACAACTGACTTTTCTAACTTCCCTACCACAGCAGTGACCCCTGACACCCAGGCCTACCCCTCTGACCAACTTGGGTGGACAGCCCTGGCCTTTTCTGCACCTGGTTAATCAGTCCCTTTCCTTTAGTGTATTGCCTTATCTTAGGAGTATAATCAGCATATAATCAGCTGCTACTTGAGGTCTACATTTTTTTTTTCTGTCCAAACAACAAAACCATGAGATACTTCACAGATCTGCACTGTTCAGGGATCTACTATAGACACAGGGTAGCTCACGTAATTGTGTGAGTTTACTTTTTCATGTTGCTATCACTGGACTTCTAGCTGCAGCACTACTCACTTGCTATTTTTTTCACCATTCTTCCAGTGGCTTCTGATTCTTTCATTAGAGTAACACAGCCTTAAAAATTAATGTGTTGCAACGTACAAATTTAACGATCGTATTAAATATGCAATTAAATGCATGTTATAATTACCTTTTGTGAACCTTGACCCTAAAGGAATAAAGAACCTACAAATGTACTAATTAGGAACGGGCATAGGCCATTGGCTTCGCAAGTTGGACGGTGGCTCAGTTAGCACTGCTACCTCACAGCGCCAGGGACCCGGGTTCAATTCCACTCTCGGGTGACTGTCTGTGTGGAGTTTGCACATTCTCCCTGTGTCTGCGTGGGTTTCCTCTGGGTGCTCCGGTTTCCTCCCCCAGTCCAAAGATGTGCAGGCTCAGTGGATTGGCCATGCTAAATTGCCCATAGTGTTCAGGGATGTGTAGATTAGGTGTGATATAGAGGGATGGGTCTGGGTGGGATGCTCTGAGGGTCGGTGTGGACTTGTTGGGTCGAAGGGCCTGTTTCCACACTGTAGGGATCTATGCTGTATGAAGCCTGTTCTGCTATTTATAAGATTGTGGCTGATCTGATTGTGTCCTTCACTCCACTTTCCACAAAGGTAGCTATAATTTGCATTTAATTGCATATTTAATAGGGTCATTAAATTTGTATGTGGCAACACATCAATTTTTAAAGCTGTATTACATTATTTTTACTCTCTCTACCTTGCAATGCCTTTGGAAATCAAGCATGTTTGAAATGTATTTTTATATTTGTGAAAGTTGTAATTGTTTTTGAGCATATTTGAAAGGGACTTTGAAAAGTTTGCATCAATTGTAAAAGGAATAATAAATACTGCCCTGTGTGACCTGCTGACCTTTGACAGGGAAGTACTACCAACAAGAAGGAAGGTAACATATGAAAACCACGTGTCAGACACAAAGGAAAGATGCAGACAAAGGAAAGCTGTAGCAGAGGGGTGAAAAGAGAAAGCGCACTTAGCAGGAGCTGTGTGTGTTTAGTTGAACAAACAGTAATGTCAAAGACAGGCAGTTATTAATTGAACAAGAGATAGTAGGAACTGCAGATGCTGGAGAATCCGAGACAACAAGGTGCAGGGCTGGATGAACACAGCAGGCCAAGCAGCATCATAGGAGCAGAGAGGCTG